CTTATATGTACAAGAATATTTATAGCCACACTTGAGGGCAGGTGGCAAAGAATTGGACATTGAGGGGATGCCCATAAATGGGGAATGGATGAACAAGATGTGGTATATCATTGTGATGGAATACTATTGTACTATAAGAAATGATGAGCACGATGGTTTCAGAAAATCTTGGGGAGACTTAAATGAACTGATGTAAAGTGAAGTGAGCAGAACCAGGACAACATTATACACAGTAACAGCAATATTGTGTGATAATCAACATAATTGTATGACTTAGCTATTCTCAGAAATACAATGATTCAAGACAATTCCAAAAGACTTATAATGAAAGATGCTCTCTATCTCTAGAGAAAGAACTGATGGAGTATGAATATATATCAAAGCATACTTTTTGAAAAAAAACTTTTTTTCTTTCTTTCCTTTTTTTGTCTGTATTTTCTTTCACAACATTGCTAATATGGAGATAAATTTGCATGACTGCATTTATATTTTCTACATCAAATTGCTTGCTTTCTCAAGAAGGCAGAGAAAGGAGGAAGGTAGATAATTTGGAATTCAATTTAAAAAAATGAATGTTAAAATTGTTTTACACTTATTTAAAAATAAAATATAAAAATTTTAAAAATACAAAAGTACTTAATAAAACCCTCCAAATCAGAAAAAAGAAAAAAAGGAGATTTTGACAAACATGAAGGCTCTGCATACCATGATAGAATCATCACTTCAGCCATGATATGACACAATGAAGATGAAATTGACCCATGAGAGAGCTAAAGTCAGTCATATGGGAAACTTTCTGAATAATGGGTGTCTGGAGACTACTTTACACAAATGAAGAAATACTAGGAGTAATCCATAAACAGAACATTGAATAAATTTTAACAGGAAAAGAGATTAATTTTTCCATTCAAATAAAAGTATTTAGTCTGAAAAATGTCATTGGCCCATTTGATAATCATGTTCTCTATCATGAAAATTAAAAATAAGCAAATTGCCTTGAGTTGTTAGAAGCTTCACCAGAATAGTGAGGTCTAAAAGAAGCCCCTGGCAAAAAAGAAAATGTCAGACTCAAGTGTCTCAGTTGCCTTGAAAGAAACCCAGAAGCTCAACTCACCAAAACCATAGTCAGCTCCTTTTGTGGCTCCACTTGCTCCGATCTGAGCTGAGCTGCTGCTACTGCTCTGACTGATGCTTCAAGTCAGCCTGTAGTCAGAGCACCTGCTGTAGGACCAATTATTATTAGCCCACCTGCACTTTCTCCACCTGCTGCCACCCCAGTTGCTGTGTGTACAGCTGCTGCCAACCTTGCTGCCACCTAAGCTATTATGTATCCAGGTACTCCCAATCCTGTTGCTACTCTACCTGCTGCCAGACCATCTACTTCAGAACCATCTGCTGCTACCCAGCCTACTTCCAGTCCCTCAGCTGCTGACCTCTCAGCCCTGTGTGTATTTGCTCACCATCCCCAACTCATCCCAGATAGGCATTAGCTGCCTTCCTCCTGTGGATCTACTTTATGAGTGGAGGTCATACATGACAGTTACAAGCTGATCTATGAAAGACCCATTTGGAAGCTTAAACCAGAGACTGAATATTCAGGTTAATACCTCAGTGCAAACTAATGTCTCAAGCGGAAGAAATCAAATGCCCTCTTTCCAGCACACCTTCCTCTACTTCTCCCAGATACTTAAAAAAGTGCCTATGCTAATTCATACTAGTTTTAGAACTAAAGAATGTGCTCTCCATATCAATACAAGTATTTGTAAATCCCTATAGTGGTTCATATTTTCTGGATTTAGTCCTCTAACTTTATATCTCTATATTCCTATTACATAAAAGGTCTCCAGTTTCTTTGCTTGAACTAGTTTCAATTGGCATGTCCAATGATTTTTCTTTCCAGCTTGTAATAGTCTTTTGCGAGAACAATGATCTTTAAATTGTCTCTAAGAATGCTATCTTTGATATCAAAAACATTTACTTGTATAGAAAACATGTATTCTTTCAAAATAATTTATTTCTCCTCTTCTTCCAAGTTGTCCTTTGCTTCAGTGCATTTGTATTACCAATCAGTTGTTTTCTTTCAGCCCTTTGAAGAGACTTGCCACTGTGGATTCATGTTTTTTTTCATTCTGTAAATTATTTCTGTTATGCAGACCAGAATTTCTGCCATTTGTTCCCTTCTAACTTTTCTCAAGATTCTGATTCATATTGTGAACCATTATGAAACATTCTACAGGGTTCTTTTATCATGAGGTATTGCTATAATTTCCTTTGTCATACCATTTTTAGTTACAGGTTTGCAATCTTCTCTATGTTTTGGTAATCATCTTCCATTCTAATTTTAATGTTTTCTATGTTGATTTTTCTGTGTTGAATTTTCTTCCTTTTGAAATCTTTTATTTTCATCACTCACATTCTGACTTTTCCCTCTTTGATGGAAGATATTCCCCTATTCTTGGACTTCAACTCTGTCTCAGCCTCCACTGACATCTCAGATTTTGCTTTTCACCTATTTCTATAACTGCCTCAAGTGACTTATGGGAATACAAGACTGACCTCAGCTGTATTGTAGTTCTCTTTCTTTCAAGACCAATATAGTCACACATGTTGCTCCCTGCCCTGATTCCCTCCATTCTTTAGGTCTGTAGCTAGGCTGAATCACATCTGCCACTTTTTTTCCTGGGTTGGAGGAAGGAGAGGTGGAGATCCTGGACAGGACTTCCATAACTTTGGAGTTCTGAGTCTTGGGGTTAGTCCAGGTAGCAAAAAATCCCACCTTACCCCCATATCTTGCTATCCCTCACATGTAGATGAGCAAAATTGATGCCTACTTCTTGATGAAATAGGACTAAGGGTAAAAGACAGGGGAGGGGGGGCTGAGACTTTTCAGTAGGAGGGAAATCAATGAATGAGTCTCAAAGCACAAGCCCATGGGTAAAATTTACTTATCCAGCTAGAATTTGGAGGCTAATGGGGGAGGGTTACTGAGTAATAGTGTCATGCTTTAGCACTCTAGACTGTTCATTCATAACCTTGCAGAGCTTCTTGCTTTTTTGTCTTTTTGCTTTCAGCTCTTGTTATGCTACTTCTAATGTATTATTTCTTTTTTAGGTTTTTTTTTGAGAGTTAATAGGAACTGGAGAAAATGACTAATTCTCCATCATGTTCATTATATGACTCAGAAGTCAAGATTTTCTCTTCAAACTGCTTATACATCATTAGGGGATGTTAATTCATTAAAATGGTTGATAAAAATTAAAAAAAATTAATCTTAAATTTAGTTTTTGAAAATTCAAATGAACAACTCTAACTATTTTAGACTTATTTTTGTTTGTTGATTGCAGGAGTATTTTTGTAAACCAAAGTGAATCAGGTTGAGAAACATACCATATCTTATAGTACTTTGGATCTCCATGGAAAAGATGGATTATTTAACAGTTAAGCACACACTCCTTAGGTTCAAATGCAGTAAGGAGTACAATTATGTAATCCATCTGTGTAATAAGCTTAAACTGACTGATAATGAAAGCGGCAGATCACTCCCATGTCAATCTCTGATATATTCTTAAAATTAACTTGGCTTATACATACAATGCTAAATAATTTTAACAAATATTTAATAATTTTGTTGATCATTGGACAGATCAGGAAAGGCCTTCCATAGAAAATGGTACCTGATCTGTATGTTGAGGAAAACTAAGGATTCTGTGAGTCATAGGTGAGTAAGGAGAACATTCCAGGTATAGGAGGAGGATTAGGTAACCTATACCAGGGCACAGATGGAGAAGGTTGACTGTTATGTATGGAGAAAAAGAAGCAGGCCTATTTGGATGGAATGTTGTGTACATGAAGAAGAGTAATGTGGAATTGAGTTGGAGTTGGACTGTGCAGGAATTTAAGTGTCAATGGGAAGAGTTCATATTTTATAGTAGAGGCAATAGGGAGGCATTGAAGGTTCTTGACCATGGTCAGACCTGTGCGTTAGGAATATTACCTTGACAACTGTGTAGGTAGAGGGAGCAACTTGAGGCTGGGAAAACAACAAGAAATATATGTTCATTTTGATTCATTTTGGTGTGTTAGGACAGGGGTGGTGGGTGAAATGGAGAGGTAGGGAAGGTAGTTAATAAAGGAGACTCTCTCTCTCTCTCTCTCTCTGTGTATATATATATATATATATATTTATATAATTTGTATGTATGTGTATATATGCATACGTGTGTTTATATGTATCTATCTATATATATACATATGTGTGTGTGTATATGTGTGTGTATGTATCAACTAAGGTCAGCCATATTTTTCCATTATCACTACTTGTTCATAAATGATTACTTGGAAGATACTAAGTGTATTTGTAGCCAACCAAGGATTTATCTCTTTCTGGATTCAGTTTAACTATGGAATCAGTGTGCCGCTTACCAGTCACATTTTCTTACTCTCTTGAACACTTCTTAAAAATACTTCACTGTGAGTCACAGGATGATACATAGGCAAGAGAGAATAACATTAAGATCTATGGGATTCTTGGTCACAGTAAGACTAGAAACTGAAAAAAAAAAGAAAAATAATAAACAGAGATAAAATTCCATGAATCAATGAAAAGCAAATTATGATTTAATAGAAAAGTTCATCGTGCATTTTTTTGTATATTTTTATATGTATACTGTAGAGGGGGAAAGGTCTTGTTCAGGCACGGCTTGAAGGTCACTTCCAAGTCTGATATTCTCTGTGATTTAGGACTGTGAATTTGATGGCATATACGGCAAATTGGATGAATCCAAAAAGGTTAAGGAAATAATTTCTTTTCCATCATCAACACAAATTATATAATTTAAGGGGCATCTTAATTCCTATCTTGCTAAACAATAACAAGGAAATAAGTTGTTAGTGATAATGGTTGTCACTCAGAAACAGTATATAAGAGGCTCAAGGAGCTATAAAACTTTCAAACTCCCGTGTCTCACTCACCTTGAAACAAATCTAGAAAGTCAACTCACGAACACCATGGTCAGCTCCTGTTGTGGCTCCACCTGCTCTGGACAGAGCTGTGGCTCTGGCTGCTGTGCCCCCTGCTGCTGCCGGATTGGCTGCTGCTTCCGGCCTCCCTGCTACCAGAGCACCTGCTGCAGGACCAACTGTTACAGACCCACCTGCATTGTGTCCACCTGCTGCCGCCCCAGCTGCTGTGGGTCCAGCTGCTGCCAGCCAAGTTGTTGCAGACCAAGGTGCTGCCCGTCTGCTTGCTGCCAACCAACCTGCTGCCACCCCAGCTGCTGCCAGCCCTGCTGCCACCCCATTTGCTGTGTGTCCAGCTGCTGCCAGCCCTGCTGCCACCCCAGCTGCTGTGGGTCCTCTTGCTGCTGAGTGCCCAATTCTTCATATATCTGTTCACTATCTCCATTCCTCTCAGAACAAATATAATTTCCTCAAGTGTACTAAAATGTCAAGATTGTTGATGACATCATACTATGAGCTCATGCACCTGCAACCAGTGTGGAAAACTTAATTCTTTTTATTCTCTGTCTGGGTCTGGCTATGCTAGTATCTTCTATTTTCTCCAGCCTCATAGGCATGAAATTTTTAATGCTTAATGTATCAGCTATGAAGGTATATCAGTTTGATGTCTTTTAATCTTCCATTCTGAATCATAACAAAATATTCAAAAAGAAAAGCAATTTCAAAGGAGAAATTTAAATTTCAGTTACCAAGTCATCAAGTCCCTAGAATGGTTATGTTTTCATCTTTGATATCTCTTCTTTATAATTTTATAGTGTCTTGTTGCTTGTATGTTTCCTAATAAAACTTCACTTTTTCATATTGAAAATTGTGGACATTGCTAATAATTTCTTGTGCATTCCTGAAAATTTTTTACTTTTAAAAATATTTTATTTTCCCCCAATTATATGTTAAAATAATTTTAATATTTTTTTAAGTTTTGAGTTTCACCTTCTATCCCTCCTCCTCCTTTCCCCTCCCTGAAACAGTAAACAATTTGATATAGGTTATACATGTGCAATCATGTAAAACATTTCCCTATTAGCCATTTTGTACAAGATGAACAAAAAACATAAAAAGAGAATGAAAGAAAGTGAAAAATAGGATGCTTCAGTTGATATTCAGATAATATTAGGTTTTTTCTCTGGAGGTAGATAGCATGTTTCTTCATGAGTCCTTTGGGATTGTCTTGGATCATTGTATGGTTTGAGAAAAGTGAAGTCATTCACAATTCTTTATCATACGATATTGCTATTACTGTGTACAATGTTCTCTTTGTTCTCACTTCACTTTGCATCAGTTCATATAAGTCTCTCAGATTTTTCTGAGAGCATCCTACTCATCATTTCTCATAGCACAATAGTATTCCATCACAATCATAGACCATTATTTGTTCAACCATTCCCCAATTGATGGGCATTCCTTTAATTTCAAATTCTTAGCCATCACAAACAGACTGCTATAAATATTTTTGTATAAGTAGATCGTTTTCCCTCATGAAAGGTTGCAATTATCATTTCTAGGAGTAGAAGAATATGCATTTCTGTAGCACTAATATTTTAAAAAATCACATACTGGCCCAGAACAATAATCCAACAAAGCCATCATTCTTTCAATGAGTGTCTTTGCAGGAAGTCCTATTTAGTAGGTCTGAATGGTGGTTTTGCATGGTCAGGGAATAGATATATTTGTTAACTTGGCATAGTTGACAAATGAGTGTTTTTGATTGGTGTGTGTGATTGATAGATAGGTATGGTGTGTGGTTAGTGGGTGAACAGATGTCACCAACAGGGCAGGAACGCCAATCTATCAGAAAATCACTCTGTGGAGAGTCAGGATGTAGGCTGAAACTTTACCAGGCAAATAATATCACTGCCCTTAGTTCAGCTAATACCTCCCCTTAGAACCTGATGGATGTAGCCTAGAAGCCCAAGCCTAAGAACTCCAAGAATAGTCGTTCCCCTCCCTCTAGACTACATAGCAGCCTCCAGGGTTTCAACCCTTGTGAAGGTCAAATCTGGCAACTGCCTTTATAAATAATATAGTGGTTACCTTCTTGAAAAAAGGAAACTCTCACCACTGAAGTCCAATTCTTGTCACTGTCAAAAAATTCACTATCATGACTTTATCAATGAAAATAACATTAAATAGGATGCATCATTATCTCATTTAATAATGAGTCCTGAGGACCATAGGGCCTTTAAATATTTTTTTTGCTGCTTAAACCTGCATGTATTTCTTTCTCTGTTAGAATGTGAGTGAGGTCCTTGAAAGCACAAACTGTCTTAGTTTTCTATTTTCATTTCAAGATCTTAGCATTCTACTTTGCACAATTCCTTGATAAATGTATTTGCATTCATTCATGGCTGATGGGTTGGAATGTTTGAGAGGTACAGTTGGTAAGTAGGTGAAATATTAGGTAATATTTGTGGATCAAAGCCAAATTGATTTGTGATAAGGACAGGACCCGCAGAGATGGGCTGAACACTTCCATCATGTTCTCAACAGAGCATCATCAACCAGTGCTGAAGCCATTGACTGTATACCTCACATTGAAGTCAACCCCTCTCTAGCTGAACTTTCAACTGAAGAAGAAGTTTTTGGTGCCATTAGGCTCTTCTCATGTGGCAAAGCACCTAGTGTTGAGACTATCCTAGCTGATATTTACAAGACTCATACAAAAGCTTACTGAAATCTTCTGGATTATATAACAGGAGGCGGTCAAGGATGCCTCCATTGTTCATCTTTATAAAAAAAAAGAAATAGGTTGTCCTGTGACAATCACGGGGTGGGAGTGTCCTCTCTCAGTCATTTCTAGCAAGATTCTTGCCAGAGTTATCCTTAATATGCTGATCCTTCACCTGGAAGATCATCATCATTTACCCAAGAGCCAGTGTGCCTTCAGAAAGGGCTGAGAAACAGTCAATATGGTGTTTGCAGCCTGACAACTCCAGAAGAAATGCCAGAAGATCTGTACAGAACATTCAGTGATCTGACCAAACCCTTTGATACTGTCAGTCATGAGGGCTAGTAAAATATCATAGCAAAATTTGTTTGCTTGGAGAAGTTCATCAGTATTGTATGCCAGTTCCATGATAGCATGTTTATACAGGTTCTGGATAATGGATGATACCCTTGAACTTTCCCAATCACCAATGGAGTGAAGCAAAGCTGTGTGCTCATTCCCATGCCTTTTAGCATGATGTTTTCAATGATGTTGTTGGTTGCCTTGAATGAGGATGAAAATGACATCAACATTGGCTACCACACTGGTGGCAAATTATTTGGCTTGAGAGTTGGTTGGCAACTTTTTGTTGCAGATGATTGTGCACTCAATGCAGCTTCTAGACTGAGAGGCAATAGAGTATGGATTGAATCTCTACTGTTTGTGCTAATTTTGGTGTAATAATTAACACCAAGAAAACAAAGATTCTCACCAGCCAACACTGCACCATCTAGATGTGGAAGCATCAGTTACAGCAAATGGAGGAATTTTGAATGCTGTGAATAAGTTCACTTACCTTGGCAGATACTTTCCAGGGACCTACACATAGATGATAGGAAAATGTGTGTTTGTCATTTGAACAATGTGGCCAGCTAATCAGAGTTGCGCTGTCTGCAGTAGAGCTTGAACGCTTGACAGTTCAGCTTGAGAAAGAACCTCAGTGTCTGTTACCTTATCTTAACAGGTAATCTTCAGAATGAAAAAAAAAAACCAAAACACATGTATTACTATGTGCCAAGTGTTGTGCTAAGTGCTAAGTACAAAGATAAGAAAAAAATGAGGCAACCCCTTCTTTCAAGGAGCTCACATTCTAATTTGGAGAAACAACATATAAAAGTAAGTTCAATTATAGAGCAGATGGAAAATTGAGGGGACTTACGATTTCATTGGTAGGGTGGGTGACAAGGCCACCTTAGATAACACCAATAGGTCAAACAGCAATGCTGAGCTCTAAAGGCCATAGAATCAGGGAAGATGGTAAAGCTGGCCAAATCATAGGAGGACATGAGGGGCAAAATAGTAACTCTTGGTGATCCTTCATCTGACTACAAGGAATAGTATTCATGATTCCTATCTTATCCAAGCTGTGTGAGTATTCCAAGAACCGAAATGGATCTTGGATGATCTGGGGCTATAGAAAGCAAAGTGGGGAGTTTAACTCTGGTGGTGTGAGGTCTTTCTGCTTGTCACCTGACCTGGATATAGAAAGACTGAAAAATTCCTTTATAGACCATGTTGAAATAAAAAAAAATAAAAGTATTAAAACTTATATGAAAACTAAATTAATTAATCCTAAAGAACTGGTGGATAAAAGCAAAAAAAAATTTTTAAATAGATAATTTCATGAAAGGATCTGAAACCCCCACCCCATTTAGACCTATGAGTGCTGCCCCCAGATCCCTTTTAAATCCCAGTTTAAAGAGTTATCTGTCCATCAAGATTCCTGAATCCCTCAGAGGAAAGTAAAATGGAAAGTCTACCTTAAAAAAATCAACAACCTCCCCAACTAAACACAAAAATAGAAATTCTGAAAACCAAAGAAATAAATTGAGAAAAAAATCCTAGAAGCTAGTTCCAGAGGGGGGAAAAACTAACAAAATAGATAAACCATAAATTAAAGAAGGACTAATAAAATAGATGACCTAACCTGAATTTTTAAAAGGTAGAAAACTTGATTTACCTATATCAAAAATGAAAAAAAGTATTTATAACAAATGAGGAGACTTATTAGAAAATATTTTCTATTAATGAACATTGAGTGCAAATGGAAGTATAATTTTCTCACTTTTTAAAGATTTTTTGTGATATGACTAATATGGAAATGTGTTTTTACATGATTTCACATATATAATTGATATCATTTTCTTGCTTTGCCAGTGGATGAAGGAGGTTCTCAATAGCTGAGGGATAGATAGGGGAGAAGGAGAGAACTTGAAACTCAAAATTTGAAAAGAAAACAATGTTTAAAAATAAATAAATTCATTTTTCAAAGAAAATATTTTCTGACAGCAATAATATAATGATAATTGCCTGTGAAAGATTTATCTACTTTGATAAATGCAATGATCCATGATACTTCCAAAAGGCATATGATGAAAAATCCTATCTCCTTCCAGAGAGAGAACTGATGAACTCTGAATGCTGATTGAAGCCTATTTTCTTTAACTTTTCTTATTTTTCTTGCTTTTCTGTTTTTGCAACATGGTTTTTTTTTGTGGCATTCTGTTTTGCATGACTGCATATGTATAATGGATATCACATTTCTTGACTTCTTCATGGGTGAATATTACTGAGAACAGTAAGATTGGGGCAAAGTAAGAAAGCTCATTATTGCCATTATTATTCAATATTGTACTATAAATGCTAGCCATAGAAATAAGAAAAGAAAAAATAAATTGAATGAATTAGAATAGGTAATGAGGAAACAAAAGTATCACTTTTTACAGATGATATGAGGTCTACTTAAAGAATCATAAAGAGTCCACTAACAACTTATTGAAACAACTTTAGCAAATTTGCAAGATATTAAACAACTTCCCATAAATCATCAGCTTTTCTATGTTTTATTAACAAAGTCCAGCAGGAAGAGAGAGAAAGAAAGCTTCCATTTAAAATAACTACAGATAATATAAAATACTTATTCATCCACCTGCCAAGACAAACCCAGGAACTATTGGAACACAATTACAAAACATTTTTACATGAACAAAGAGATATATAAACAATTGGAGAAATATCAATTGCTCTAAATATTAATAGATCAAGCCAATATGATAAAAATGACAAGTAAATTAATTTAGTTATTCAATGCCATACCAATCAAACCAGCAAGAAAGCATTTTATATAGTTAGAAACAAGTAATAACAAAATTCAGCTGGAAGAAAAAAAGATCAAGAATATCAAGGGAATAAATAAAAAAATGTGAAAGAAGGCCTCACAGTACCAAATTTCAAATTATATTACAAAGTGGTAATCATAGAAACAATGCAGTACTGGCTAAGAAATAGAGTGGTGGATGAGTGGAATAGATTAAGTACACAATACACAGTAGTAAATGACCATAATAATCTTGCATTTAATAAACCCAAAGATTTAGGCTTTTAGAGCAAAACTTCACAATTTGATAACAATTGCTGGCAAAACTTGAAAGCAATTTGGCAGAAACTAGGCATAGACATATCTCACACCATACCAAGATAGGAAAAAATAAGTCCATAATTTAGCCATTAAGAGTTATACCATAAGTAAATTAGGGGAGCTTGAAAAATTTTACCTTTCAAATTTATGGATAAGGGAGGAATTTACAACCAAACAGGAAATACATAGGATCAACACAATGTAAAATGGGTAATTTTGATTACATCAAATTAAAGAGGTTTGCACAAACAAAACCAATGTAGTCAAGATTAGAAGGAAAGCAGGAAACTGGAGGAAATTTTTTACAGCAAGTTTCTATGATAGTCATTTCTCAAATATACAGGGAACTGAGTCAAATTTAGGGGCAGCTAGGTGGCCCAGTAGATAGAGCACTGGGCTTGGAATCAGGAAGACTCATGTTCATGAGTTCAAATTCAGCCTTAGACACTTAATAGCTGTGTGATCCTGGGGGTTGTCACTTAACACTGTTGCCTCAGTTTCCTCATATGTAAAATGAGCTGGAAAAGGAAATGGCAAACCACTCCAGTATCTTTGCCAAGAAAATCCCAAAGAGAGTCATATCTGACTGAAATGACTGAACAACAAAGAGTCAAATTTATAAAAATAAGGGCCATTTCTAATTAATAAATGACCAAGCAATATAAGCAGGCAGTTTTCAGAAGAAATCAGAGCTATCTATAGTCATATGAAAAAATGCTTTAAATCATCATTGATCAGAGAAATTCAAATCAAAACAACTTTGAGGTATCACTTCATCCCTATTAAATTAGCTAACATGATAGAAAAGGAAAATGACAAATGCTAGAGGGAATGTGGAAATATAGGGACACTAATGCATGCTTGATAGAGTTGTAAACTGGTCTAACCACTCTGGAGAGCAATGTGTAATTATGCCAAAAGGACTATAAAACTGTGTGTACTCTTTGATTTAGAAATACCAGTGTTAGCTCTGTGTCCCAGAGACATCAGAGAAAAAGGGGGAAAAAAGTATGTATAAAAATATTTATAGCAGCTCTTTTTGTGGTATCAAAGAATTGGAAACTGAGGATGCCCATCAACTGGTGAATGGCTGAACAAGTTGTGGTATATGATTGTGATGGAATTGTGCTATAAAAGTGATGAGCAGGATGATTTCAGAAAAATGTGGGAAGTAATCAGAACCAGGAGAATGTTGTACACAATAATGGCAATATTGTAAGGATGATCCTCTGTGAAAGATTTAATTACTCTAATCAATACAATGATCCAAGAAAATTCCAAAGGACTTACAATGAAATACTATCCACCTCCAGAGAGAGAAGTAATGAAGTTTGAGTGCAGATGGAAGCATACTTCTTTCACTGTTTTTTTTTTTTGCTTTATTTTGCAACATAGTTAATATGTGTTGCGTGATTTCACATGTATAAATGTATATCACATTTCTTGCCTTTTAAATGGAGGAAGAAAGGCAAGAATGAAGGAAGTATTTGGAATCTGATTTTTTTTAATGAGTATTAAAAATTAATAAATAATATTTTTTAAAAAGACTCCCAAATGAAGAGAAACAAATAAATTGGAATCTTGAATCTCAGAAAATACAACTGAGCTAGGGTTGTGATTCATTCATTCATTCATGAAGGCAACTAGGTGATACAGTGGATAGAGCACTATGTCTAGAATCAGGAAGAACTGAGTTCAAATTTGACCACAGACTTTTAGTGTCTCTGTGCAAGTCACTGCACATCTGTTTATTCTAGTTTCCCCAACTGTAAAGGAGAAGAATAACAGCCCTAACTTTCAGAGTTGTTTTAAGAATCAAATGAGTTAATTTTCTGGCATATTGTAGGTGACATAGATACATAGATGGATAGATAGATAGGCAGATAGATATACATATATATGTGTGTGCATATATCTTGATAGATAGATAGATGTACTTATTCCTTTGCCTTCTCTCCTTATTCAGCTCAACAAGAAATAATTATTAAGCACTTATTTGGGTGCAAAAGATTGTTAGGTGCTTGAATTATAGAAACAGCCCCTGCTCTCAAGGAATTTACATTTAACTGGAATGAATCCTCATTTGTGTAGTCTAAGAAAATGGATGGTTCATTACCAAATTCTATAGCTAGGTGTTAATAGTTTTCCATATATCCTGTTGGGTTCCATTTTAACCCCAAATACAGAATGTTATGCAGCAGGGAATAAATTTTATATACCAGATGACAGCACATAATAAGGGTTTAAAAGTATTCATCCAGCTATGCTTTATGTAAATGTATGTAATCCTATAAGAGCTTTCTTTAGTATACTTCTGAGATGTACTCCTAATCTTTCTTGGATGATATCACAATGGGCTACAACACCTGCCCACAAATTTTCCCTCACAGATGATGTCAGACAAAACCTTAAAAGGAAGAACCGTTGTTCTGAACTGTTGACAGTACTGCAAGTATAAAATGGTTTGAGAAACTAGAGATTGACTTCTCAGGAAGATGCAAGGAAAAACAACTAGCAATGTCAATGTTTTTATTACTTTTTTCTTTTACAAAGTGATTTATTTTAAAACTCAGAAGCAACATTTTGCAGAATAAATAGTGTTAGGAGAAATTAAAGGTGGAAACAACTTAGATTTGAGAGACAAAATTTTTCATCTTCAGCAATTTGAAGAAAGTTACGAATGGTGAAAGGGAAATCATGAAAAAGAAACTTTAACAAAAAGATTCTTGATGATGAATCAGGCTTAATTTAGCTCATATTTGAAAGAAAAGAAAAAGTAGTTGGTGATATCTACTCAGTTCCTAGTATTGCTGTCCACTTTACTGATTTGGGCTGGGTTAATTCACATGAGCACTCTCCATATTGCTTCACAGAATAAGGACAGACCAAGGTTTTGTTTCATAGAAACCTTGTACATGTGTCCATGACAATTTATGGTCAGCAAGAACACCTACAACAGGCTGGGTGGAAGCAGGTAGTTCTACAGCAAGTGGTCTGACAGCAGGTTGGGCGGCAGCAGGTTGGGCGACAGCAACTGGGGCTGCAGCACGTGGTCTGGCAGCAGGCTGGACGACAACAGGCGGGGCGGCAGCAGGGCTGGCAGCAGCTAGCCACAGAGCAGCTGGGACGGCAGCAAGTTGTGCGGCAACAAGTGATTTGGCAACAGGTGGGGCGACAGCAACTAGACTGGCAGCAGGAAGGGTGGCAGCAGGTTGGTTGGCAGCAAACAGACTGGCAACACGTTGGTCTGCAGCTGGTTGTTCTGCAGCAGCTGGACATACAGGAACTGGGGCGGCAGCAGGTGGTTTGGAAGCAGCAGCTGGGAACACAACAGGTCTCTTGACAGAAGTCTTGACCACAACAAGTCTCTTGACAGAGGCCTTGGCCACAGCTCAGGTCAGAGCAGACGGAACCACAACAGCAGTTGACCATGGTGCTGATGCACTGAGATTCTGGGTTGATATCAAGGAGAGGGAGTTGTTATTTGCGTATAAAAGTCCCTTGCCCCACAGACCTCTTATATATTGTCCTGAATGGCTAACATGGCCAATTACAAATTATTTCCTTGTCATTGTTTTTCATGATGGAAAAGTAACTATTAAATTAGCTAATTTGATTTAATAATGAGAGAAAAATGTTATCTCTTGATTACTTGAAATACATTCATCTTTTTCTTCCTTTAAATAAACTTTTGTATCTCATTTTTTTAGGCATGGAACCCTTAATTACCTTTTATCCTCCTTCCAATTCAGGTTACTTAGATGATAATCTGACACCAGAACCTCAATGCATCATACAATATTCTCAGCTTGTTGCAAATCACTCCATGACTCATAGTGGGTTAAATTCATAAAGATGAAGATACTTTTATGGAATGATGGGAAATCTCTTCCATATGGGCACCATATATTCCTTGGGTTAATGTCATATGGTTTACCATGTTTTCCAAAATAAAATTTATTTGGCCACTCCTTCCTGTGCCTCTGCTGACACTGAAAATATAACATGTTCCATTTGTGAGAGTTCTATCAATGATCCCTTGGTTATGAACTTTTGAATTCTTCTCTCTAACAGGGCAAAGACTGAGACAGAAGAGAAAATAGTTGGAAGACCATGAAGATTCAACACCCTAAAGGTGATTTTGTCATTGGAATGGTAGAAGGCATTGGTGGTACAAGGTAGAAGCAGTGGTAGTACACTACCACCATGGAATTAAGAGAGCATCTACAGGGCTTGGTGAAGATGGGAGGTTGAGTATGTTGGACATTTAAGCCCTTGAAAAAATGTACTATGGAAGTCTGTTGGTGAAATAAAGGAAGTGGAAGCAAAACTAGGAGAGATAACAGCAAGGGGTAATACAGCTGACTAGAAATGGAAGCAAGGATGATCTCAAAAGTAGGCTGTAGATCCAGCTACAAGGGATTGATATAGGAAAGCAACGAAAGCTGATACAGTCTGACAATGGTATGTGTAGGCGCTCGATGTCTACAGACCAGGAAAATGTGCGTCTTTTATCAATTTCAAGGAAGGAGGATGCAAATGAGAATTTTTCTATTTGGACTATTCTAGATGAAGACAAGTATGAGGCTGGACTCATTTATAGAGTAGATGTTAAGACTAATCTTTTTTTCTCTTTCCTTTTTGACTCCAATTAAATGTTTTGTTGTTGTGGTTGCTGTTGTTGTTGTTGTTTTAACTGATTCAATACTCTTAGGTTATTATTTTGGAATGATCAGGATTGAGTATCTAGACCTAAATGGACATTAGACTTGGAATCAGGAAAATGAGTTCAAATCCAGACTCAGACATTTACTAGTTGTGTGACTCTGGGCATATCACTCACCCTCTCTCTGCTTCAGTTTCCTCATCTGTAAAATGGGGAGAATAATAGAATTTACCTCCCAGTGTTGCTGTGAGGATAAAAATGAGGTAATATTTTAAAGCACTTTGAAAACCTTAAAATAATAATATTATTATTTCCAATCTTTTCATATGGTTAAAGGATGGACTCATGAAAAAATGCCTACCAATTAATCAATCAAAAATATTTATTAAGCACTTATTATGTGACAGGCACTGTGCTAAAAAAAATTCAGGAATACAAAAAGAGGCAAAAGACAGTGCCTGACCTCAACCTCCACATTTTAGAGATGATAAATATGAAGCCCTGAAAGGGACAATGATTTGCCCAAAGTCAAACTGGTCCTCCAACTAAAAATCCAGTGATATCATCACTGTGCCACATTCCACTCCTTCCCCATATGCATGGAGAGGGTAGCATTTGAACTGGATCTTAAAGAATGTGTAGTAATTTAACAAATGGTGATGGAGAGGGAGGGAATTAGAAAATAAGGGCAAATGAGCTTAAGGAATAAGAATAGGGACATTGTCACCGAATTTGTGATTGGCATTGGGAGCTGCCATTGATGTTACCTTTCTTTACCCATGCAGGTAGGCAAATCTATGAAATTTAGAGCAAACATGATCTTATAGAGCTGCGTAGAGCAAGTTGAATGCCTTGCTCAGATTCATAGAGCTAGTATATTTAGGGGCAGGACTAAAAGCAAAAGTAGGGGCAGCTAAGTGGAACAGTGGATAGAGTACTGGCCCTGGAGTCAGGAGGACATAAGTTCAAATCTAGCCTCAGACACTTACTAACTGTGTGACCCTGGGCAAGTCACTTAACTCTGATTGCAAAAGTATGGAAATGAAAAAGCATGGGGCAGGTTAAGGGAGAGCATGTGGTTCAGTTTAATAAGAACATAGCATAAATAAAGAAGAGCATGTGAGATAAGGCAAGAAAAGCAATCTGGAGCTAGATGGGAAGATTTCTTCATTATTGTTTAACATTAAGTAAAAGTGATTATCACAATAAGCAGTTATGTTTTCAAGTTAAAAGCTCAGATGGGAAATATTAATTGCTTTCTGTGCTGCACTGGAATTAACCCAATTTGTTCTTTCTGAGTCATCTCTTGTCTTGTATGTATCATTTAGGCTTGCCAATTGTCTTTATTCTTCAGAGGTGGTCTACCCTGTGACACAGCAAGAGTAGTGCTATGTGCTATATTAACTCACTCCCCGTCTTATCAACATAACATGCTGTGACTTGGAAAATGGTCTTGGGAGAAGCTCCCTTACAGTGGCCTGTGTTTATAACAGAACATTTTAAGGGGATAGAATGCTATTGCGGGGAGAGTAAGGGAAAAATATCATGGTGGGTAACCAGGGTGATGAGGAAGAGCCAGACGATATGAGTGGTAAGTGAGCTGAGAAAATTAAGTTTGTAAGGACTCCCCAAGCTATGCATCATGTCTCATTCCCCTGAATCATTGACTCAAACATTTGGCAAAAACTCAAGATTTTTAATATGTAAAAAAGAATCTGGAATGAGTGTGTCTGTTCCTTCAGAAGTTAGTGAATGTGAAAACAGATGGTTTCTGATTCCTCCTTAAGAGTCAACCAATGTAATAGACCAGATGCACAGTATATTATTCTTCTTTACTTTGAAACAATCTTTTAATCATCCATCAGAGAATGAATGTTTGTTATATGCTGGGCAAGGGAGGGAGACAAATTAAGCATTTGACATTGTTGCCTTTTAAGACAGTAGTTTATTTGAGGATAGAAGTGAATTGGTTTGGTGGAAAGAGTACTACAGTTGCACTTACAGGACCTGAATTCAAATCTTACCTATGTGACCTTGGAGAAGTCCCTTAACCATACTGGGCTTAAGTGTCCAAACAAATTCAACAAACATGGATCAAGTGCAAAATATGTGTGAGTCCACAAATACTTGTCGGAGATACAAAGTCAGGAAAAAGAATACATCTAATCTCTAAAATGAAGGCTTTAGACTAGTTTGTCTGTAAGATCATTTCCAGCTCTAAATCTATGATCTGATGAAAAAGCAGAATGACAATGAATGGCATGTTGTTATGTGCACAATCACATAGTTATCCAAAGGCTTTAGAAAAAGGTGCAGAGGTTGATTGCCCAAGAAAAAAAGGAATGATTATTGAAACCATGAGGTGTTTTTTGGGGGGGGGGGGGGGGTGGGGAGGGATATGAATAGTAGGGACAATGGCTGTTACCAGAGGGAAAGATAAATTTGGGTTGTAATGGTCAAGAGGAGTGGTAATAAGTAGAGGTAGTGTGTTCTTATTATAGTCTACAGGTCAATGTTAACACTACCTTAGCTGGAAAAGACACAGTTGGTATCTTTTTTAGGAATATGAGACATTAAAAGACCAAGTAGTTTGGCCCTGCAGTCCATATAGTTTTCATCCCAGAAGTGTGTGATTAAGGCTTAGAAATATGTGTACCAAAACCTGTATTGAAATTCATTAGAAAAGGCCCTCCAAGTGAATGCTCTAAGAGAAAATGAAGATTTTTGTAGCCATTGACTTTCTGCATAAGTTTTATTGGGAAACAAAGATCATGAGATGGAGAAAAACTGCAGACAGAAAAAAATTCATTGGAAGACTCAAGTATAACAAGGTGGGGAGAGGGGTTGTTTATTTCTTAGTTGACAGATCTGAATACATTTACAATTTCTATAGGAAGGAAAGGCTAACAAAGACAGCTGTTTGGTCAGGAGTCCAAGTCAGGTACTCTTTTTCAGGTTTCCAATTTATGCTCATGTGGCTCAGCTCAAATTTGAATGATTTGAAAAAGGATTATTCATCTTAATGTACAGGAGGATAGTTGATGTCTCTAGGGGATGGGGTGAGGATGGTGAACAGATGTGTACAGGTTTGAGTACTCAGCAACAGGTTGGGCGGCAGCAAGTGGTTCTACAGCAGGTAGTCTGGCAACAGGTGGGGCGGCAGCAAGGCTGGCAGCAGCTGGACACACAGCAGCTAGGGCGGCAGCAAGTTGTGTGGCAGCTCGTGGTCTGGAAGCA